GCTCACTGCGTGCTCTGCCCCCCCCCCCCCCCCCCTTCTTCTTTAAGATATTTAGATTCTGCAAATCAAAATGCCACAGAAACTTCAAAAAGAAGCGAAATCCCAGGAAGATGAGATGGACCAAAGCATTCCGGAAAGCAGCTGGCAAAGAATTGACAGTGGTAAGAAGTTGAACTGGTTCACGCTTCACATTAGCTCACTAAAATGGCAGAAATTTAGCCTCTTCCAGTTGCAAGTAGGTTAGGTTAGCTAGCTTAATGTGTTGTCATTTAATTAGATGAGCACGAGGGATGGAGTAAGTGGAAAAAAGAGGGATTGTGGAAGAGGATGTGAGCTCTCTTGAGAGTGAGCTATTCGTTTAGCTTGACCGTAACTTGGAACTTCCTGTTTCAGCTTCAGTGTGGAAGCCAGTGTATCAGGTCTCGACGTTGGTAATACATGGCAGTTCCCAAGTCCAAGGCATTTTTTTTTTTCCATCTATAAATCTCCTGCTGTCTGTAGATATACATTTCGTAGTTGTATTTCTGCACAATCAGATAATCTGCGTTACCGAGTACCCCAGGAAGTCTCTCTATGTAGACACATAAGATGGTTGTCTTTTGAAGTCTCCTTAAAGCATACAATGTATACGAAAAATCCTTGTGTAGATTGGAATGTTGCAAAAACGGCATATAAGATCTTAAGAACAATTTCAAGACAAAGTTACTTCAGTGGTAAAAATACTAAACACTCATATTTGGTGGGACAGTCCTTAAATAATTCAGGAATTACTGTGACTTAATTACCTGTTTTTTGACAGAATACTAACAATTTAGTAAGTATTTTGACACAGTGATTTGCTGCCTTCTGTGGATCTTCCAAGGGGAAGAATGTGATTTTATTTTATTTTTTAGTGTGACTCTGAGAAGCCGTGATTAATTAGCATCTTCTGTAATTGTATTTCTTGATTTTAAGTTGTTTCTGGCTAAGTTGAATTACCTTTTTGAAAATAACTTAATTTGAAATTCCTTTGTACATGTCTAAATAGGTGATAATGTGCTCCAATTTTGAGATATATCTATGTATGCTAAGAATTAAAACAATGTATAAATGTGGTGCTTTGTTGTAGTTTGGTTGGTATCCATTCTTTCATAAGCCAGCTTTGGGAGAGTGTCTGAATAGATTTGTGACAATGGGAAATGCTGTAGTTTGTAAGACGGTGGCAGTTCTTGCTGCTTTAAACAGGGTCATTGGACAGAGGTTAGATAGATTTACTTGTTTTCCTGGGTTTCAAGTTTTTTATTAAACAACAAACAAATTAAGAAGGACATAATCTTGCCAGGTGGTTGTTCACAAGGTATTTCTGAAGGACTGTCTTATTCTCTCACTCAGTATGACCGAGGAGTTGGTCATTCTGTCCCCTCATGTTTGGAATTGAAAAGATCCACTGGCCAGTATGAGGCAGCTGCAGTTTATCTCTGTGCACGTAGGTTAGAAGATCATGGCACTTTGAACATCTGTACTCTTATGAGACTTCTTTTCACTGTTTGTGGTGTGTTCTCATGATACAAAACAATGCTGTATATTATAAATACGTAAAAGCTGACACAGTTTAGGATAAACTGCAGTGAGTTGTGGTGCTGTGTCACACTTGGCTAAAAATGAATTTTAGGGTTTTGGGTATGTGTTGTTTGTTTTGTTTGGTTTTTTTTTGTTAAAAATAAGAATGGCGTGTAGATGTTAGCGTATGGTGTGCTCTACAGCTTGTATTTTGGATATTTTGCTTGATGCTGTCCCATGGTGAAAACTAACATTCGTCTGCCAATGGAGCATGGCTTGTGAGTGCGTACGTGCCATTTCTTGCTGTTCTCTGTCGTTTTTCTCGTTGGAGCTGTCTTTAGCTCAAGTGAAGATTAGCAGCTGGTCTAATAATTCTGCTTTACCACTACAAAAAAGAACCTTTGGGCAGGTAAAAGTCCTCAGATAAAGTTGGTGTAAAGCTAAGTATGCCTAGCAAAAAAAAATCAGGAAACTGTTTTTCCATTTTAAATTCTTGGGGGGGGGGGGGGGGGGACAAAAAACAAACAAACAAACAAAACCAGAAAGAAACCCCCCCAGCTGCCCCAAACACCACAATGTCATCAATTGAAATATTTCACAATTTCAAATTATTTTGTATTATTTCAATATTCTTAAAATGAAATAGTGGTGTGGGGTTTTTTTTTAACCTTTTCAAAATTACAGGCTGTTGAGTAGAACTTATTTGACCTGCACTAAATGCTTTTGACTCTACACGTTTTCAATTTTGCCTTCCACCTGTCTAGTCTACTCTGTATTTCCTACTCCACATTGGTCTTCTCTGCTCCTTTTGTCTTGCTAAAAAGAAAATAGCTGAGGGAGATGTTTTGGTAAATAATTCTCTTCAGACAAATCACTGTGGCTTCTGACATTTTGAGGTCAAACACTCCACTCTATTTTCTTCTAGTTTAGTAATCCCTAATGGTTGTTAAAGTACAAGAACTGAGATTCTGAAAGGGAAAAAAAAAATCATGTAAAATATAAAGTTATATGAGTGAGTGCTGTAGTAAGAATATATTGATCTAAATGTCCTTCTGTATATAATATATATTTACTTTTTCTTAATATAGGATAATTCATTTGAGTTTGAAAAACGTAGAAATGAACCAGTGAAATACCAGAGAGAGTTGTGGAACAAGACTGGTGAGTCATTTTAGAAAAAAACAAAAGATGAACTATGGGGAGTGAACTTTTACACTACACGAACGTGTTTTCAGAAGACGACTTAGAGTGTTGGCACTTTGTAGTGATTGTGTTTGAAATTACTGGAATTGTGACCAAATTCTTACGTGTGGAGGAGGTTTGAGTCGTGAACAGGTGTGGAGTTTCGCTTAATTTTTTTTCAGAAACTGGTTAGAAAATGAGGTGCAGCATTCCTCTATTTTGAATTATCATCTTCAAAAACCCTTAGTCGTTCTCCAGCTTTTTAAGAGGCTCCCACTGTAAGCCTTTTATACTAATGCAGTTGTTTTTCTTCCTGCTCATTCCGCTTCAGTTTGTTTAATAAATCAATTGCTATAAAATGGAAGAGTTACTTATGTCATGAATGAATGCCACAAAGGAGAAGGTGGTAACTTGCGTCTGATTTCAAGCAGAGTAAGAGTCTTTTGTAGTGGTGGTGAACTGTAGAAAATATGCGTAGGCGCAAAAGTGGAAGCATAAATAAGTTTAAAAATACAGTTCATCATAGTTGGTACACAGAATATTCCTCTACCCTGCTCTTTGAAGAAGGAATAATTTCCTCTATATAGTGTAAGAGTTGCCTCTGGTATAGAGGTATTATGGAATGCTGGTAGTGTTGCTCTGCAAATAGCATGTATTTTCAACTGTAGGCATGTAAGTACATTTAAAGCAATTTCTGCTTTATTTCAGTTGATGCAATGAAGAGAGTGGAGGAAATAAAGCAAAAACGCCAAGCTAGATTTATTATGAACAGGTAAGAAGAAGGATTTGTATTATGCCAGCTCTTGCAACTCTATATTAGACGGTCAGTCTTTTCCAGAGAAAAGAGGATCAAAAGTTTTAAATGGTTATTTGCTTTGTACATACACAGTCATCCAAGCGATGGGGTAAAACAGTTTGAGAAGGCTCTACCAAACTACTACGCTTTACTGGGTGTCCAATGAGATGTAGCTTTTGGACACTCGATGATAATAGTTAAATTTCCTTGTTTGTAATATGGAGTCTTGGATTTAAACAAATTTCTGGTAAGAGTTGATAGAGTGCTGGCTCTTTTTCTGGTTTAGTATCCAGTGTATGCTTGAATTGGTTTTCAGATAGTTTTTACCTTTACTTCCTCATAATCATAGTAATTTACAGTTTACATACCTTTAGCTAAAGATGTGTCATGCATTAAAATAAAAATGTACATCTCCTCTTTGAAGGTAACTTTCATTTTCCCTCTCCGCAGATTAAAGAAGAGCAAAGAGTTGCAGAAGGCAGAAGACATCAAAGAAGTCAAACAGAATATCCACCTTCTTCGTGCTCCACATGCAAGTAAGAACTTGCTTTAACTGGTTTTCTTAGGTTAACTTGTGTATACAATTTTATGATGAATATTGGGGTTTTTTGGTATGACTAATTCTACAGATCAATAATCCTGTGCATTTTTCTTACAATTAATTTGTCTGTTGAATACGGAGAATAGCTCTTGCCACTAAATGTAAGCAGTATCTTTGTTCTGAATCAAACATACCTTCTTATTTATCTAGTCCTGCATTCATCCTTTCTTTTCCTTATTTGAGTGTTTTAAATGGCACTCAATACCTGGTACTCTTATGAACTGCATGTTTGTTAACCAATACATTTATCTAAGCCTTCCCTTTGAATTGATTATTTGAACTCAACAGACAATACCACTGATTGATATAAAATACAGTATTTAAACTCTGCTTTTTGAATTTGTTAGTTAATTGTGAGAGTAGGGATTTTTTGTAGTTCACTGTGTACAGTGAAACTTACATGAAAACACTGTTTCTTCAGTGTAAGCCTAACATTTTTTTTTATATGGTAATTTTACAAATTTTCAGTAAAATCTGTACCTAGTTCAGATATAATAATGTGTATTCTTTGTTAGTGAACTGAGCTTTTCAGTTGGAGAAACCTTTTTCTCCTAAATAATTTTCTAGTTTCTAAACTATTGCAAATACTAGCTTGTGTTAGATGATGTTGATAAAAATGGATTGTAAAGATTATTTATTTTTTAAAATACAGTTAATGGAGTAGAGTAGTGAAGAGAAGTTAAAAATGTTTCCGTTAGTTATTGTTTTATAAAAATTAACCAGTGATTTTTGTCTCCATGGATGTAGGTGTGACATATTATTAGACGTTAACTAGAAGTCTGTTTTATATTTCTAGTTCTAGTTTGCATTAACTATAGTCTAAGATCATATATATATATATATATATGAAACAAGGTTTTATTAGTATTATTAGTATATTAGTATTATTAGTATATTAGTATATATTTAAACTTTGGTTTGATCTGTCCCTTGTTTTTTGAGGGAAGAAAAAGAAAAAAGATCTGAGTTCAGAAGAATAAACCTGAGTGTTTATTTCTTTTGTACTGATGCACAGTAGCATGTAGTACATCTTTTTGTCAAACAACAGCTGCCTTTTCAGTGTTTTGCAGTTC